TATCTCCTTTAATAAAAATAAACTAAGTGATTTACTCCGATAAAATTGATAAACTCCATAAAACCAAAAGGCTCCCGCCAATTACCCGCCAACTTATACAAGGAAATTAGTTCAAAGTAAGCCAGACAGGCACTATTGTAGTTGCATTTCACTAAAGAACGGTCAAACAAAAAGGCGAAATTCGAACATCGTAAACTGTTTAGTGAAGTGAATGTAACGGAAACAATTGAGATTTTCATAATTTGCATGCCTAAGTTAAATATAGTTTTACGCATAACTAAAAGACGAACTAAACTGAGCTTGCAAAATTCTCCCTCCTCACTTGTGAGGCATTAGTGAGATGCCAAAGAAACCAATGTATTCTTCGACGGCGCACGAAAATTTGGCAAGGATACAACATGCGCTCCTGTTCAGGGAGCATAGTATAGTCCTGTAGAGTTCCTGCAGCCCGGCGCCCTCCTACCTCGTGACACCACAGACAAAGTCACTCAGAGCATAGGACCTCGCATGAAGGCAGTTTTCGGTGGGTCTCAGAGCAGTTGCAAACGTGCGCACCCTGCATCCCGTCCTGGCCTCTATCAATAGTGGCTTGATCTCAATCCATCCAATGAGATTCCCGCGTTAGTAGACTAGCCTCATTTAGTAGGTGGGCTGCAATCCGTGTGGAAACAGACCACAATGCGGTGTCCGTCCACAAGTATCACTTTGGACCCGACCCGGCTATGGAGCGGACTGCACCCATCCAAGTCAAATCTTACAGAACCTAGCTAGGGTTAGCATTAGTTGCCGAGTAAGTAGGGTCGCACAATATTTTTTTGGTCAAAAATAGAAGATGCGATCACTGGAACAAGAATTTTATTTGCCTGACGTTTCGCATTCCATCGGGAATCCTTAATCACAGGTAACCATAGAATAGTATGACGCATACACAGCTAGGGGCGATACATACACAGATGGCGCAATATTTAAAGTTCGTAGCTGCTACCCGCATGTGTACTACAATCATTAGCTCCTGTAACTACCGTTTGGGGTCGTAATTGGTGCGTTGATGGCTTGGCAGTTCACTTTCGAGTTATTACTTGTCGCGACTTCGTTGTCCGGGCTTGATAATTGCGCAGAAATTATTTTCGCCTTCATCGAAATTGTTGCTGGGCCCGGACCTCCCTATGTGACTGATTCTCCTGCTTAGACAATGTCTCAGTACGGAGTATAAGAACGGCATTTTGTTGTGCTTGTTGCTTGACTGTGGGCCTGAGAACCATGATTAGAGCAGCTCGCGGCTCACATGATTGTCACCTCTTGTGAGTTCGGTCTCGTTAAACTTAAAACTATGACCGGATCCCGTCGAGTGAACTGCAATCTGGGAGTTGGCGTCTTTTTTACGCAAAGCCGCTGCGTGCTCGGTCATCCTCGTCCAGAGTAATCTCCCAGTTTATCCGACGTAGTTGTTTTGACCACAACTGTATCAGATCCGGTAAACGACTCCAGCCGTTTCTTGCCATGGCAGTGGGTCTTTCG